AACTATCTTCCCCTTAGAAATGTACTAATTTAGGGTATAAAAGCCACGGTAAAAAATAAAGCATTGCCAGACTCTGCCAGACTCTGCATCCCCCATCTGGTCACACTCTCTCTCTCTCTTTCTCTCTCTCTCCCTTTCTCTATCTCTCCCTCGCAGACTTGGCCCTATCAAAGCTGGTCTCATGTGTCTTCTCTCTCTCTCTCTCGCTGACGCCGTTCATCCTGAGGGTACCCCCTGGATCCTGCCGAGGCTGGACCCCGCCGAGGCTGGACCCCGGCATCATATCAGCTCCCCCTAAGGTCTTCCTGAAACTAAGATCAGAGAGTTAGGTCATTCATCAAGGGTCCTGGGTGGGGAGCCAGAGCTGCAAGACATCGTATATCACCAATCCTATCACCTGCCAGTACCTTCAATGTGCGCAGGTGGCCAAGTTATGCTGCCTGAGGCCACTGCTCAAGGACACGGGACAATTTAGCCCAAAAGCCCAGGAAGTCTTGTCGTTGTCTGCTGACCTGGAAGAAACGCCTCTCCCCTCTGTGTCTCTTCTTCTGGCTTGAACCCAGGAAAGCACTCTGTATTGCCCAGTCCTTTAAGTGTCCTTCTACAGTGGCACTGGCAAGAAAAAGGAGGTCAAGGCCCCAGGTCGCCTATAAAGTTCTTGAGTGGCAGCAATGGTGCTGGAAGGGGCGGGAAGCCACACTGTGGGTCCTCATTCAGGAAGAAGCTCTGCTTAATGATGAAGACCCCTGGAGTACAAGAAAGAACAGAGGTTCTTTAAGATAGAAGATCTGGATTCTAGTCTCAACTCTGCTACTCTTTGGCACATCATTTCTTTTGGGGTCTGTTTCCTGCTCTATAAAAATGAAAGAGTAGATGAGGTGACCTCCAAGTTCCAGGTCTGACGTCTTATTGTTCTAATTAAGTCAACTTTCAGCTCCCTGATGTGCCAGTCATTTGAGTGATTGCTCTCAGATCCCCACCCTTGTCCTCCTCTGCCTTGGACTGCAGACGCCCAGTGCCTGCAATCTACATTTCCCAATCTCCTTTGTCATCGGCTTTTAAAGGCTCTGGTGGCAGACTGGAAAGTGGGAAGTCGGGAGACGTAAGGGTATTTCTCACCCTTTTCTGTTCTGAGAGGCAACTCAAGTAGTGGCGGTGTCTCAAAGATTACAGATCCTGCTAGACAGCCCTCACCTTCCTATTTTGCTATTTTTGTTCTTCCACCACCTTGGTGACAGGTTTCCTGTGATAAATGCTCTCTGTTGAACCACCTAACTGCCTGCAACACCATGGACTGTAGCCCACCAGGCTCCTCCGCCCATGGGATTCTCCAGGCAAGAATACTGGAGTCTGTAGCCATTTCCTTCTCCAGGGGATCTTCCCGACCAGGGATCGAACCCAGGTCTCCTGCACTGTAGGCAGATTCTTTATTGTCTGAGCCACCAGAGGGAAGACTGTCTTCCTCACCAGACCCCGACTAATACAGTCAGACTGTGGATTGTCTACAGTCAGTTTTCAGTCCCACTGGGGTACAGCCTAGGTAGTATACAATCTTGTGTGCCCCCTTCATTTAATATCTACCAGGAAGAGAAAATGGAAGGCAAGAGGAAGGAGGAAAATGAATAGAGACTGAGCACAATACTGGCTAAATCCAAATCTCGGCCCATTTTCCCCCTGCACACAGCGCAGCTGAGCACAGCTGGAGAAAACCTACACAACCTTCCTGTCCAGTCTCACTATCCTAAGTTAGTGTTAGTTGATCAGTCGTGTCCAACTCTTTTCGACCCCGTGGACTGTAGCCTGCCAGGCTCCTCTGTCCATGGAATTCTCCAGGCAAGAATACTGGAGTGGGTTGCCTTTCCCTTCTTCAGGGGATCTTACTGACCCAGGAATAGAACCTGGATCTCTGCATTGCAGGCAGATTCTTTATCATCTGAGCCACAAGGCTATAAAGAGGGCCCATAATACTGTCCAGCAATTACCCTGAAGTTTTGTAGATCATTCACTCTCCTGACTTCCTAGGTGACTGTTTCATTTCTGGTCCCCTCTACCCAAACCCCAAGCACCACCTTCCTCCCCCATCATCACTCTCACCTAAAGACCTTGTTTCCTGTGACACTGAGAAATCAGAAGTATTCAGAGAGAGCAAGCCTCCACAACCATATCTCTCCACCTACTGCCTCTACCAGTTTATTCCAGTTCCTCTCCAGTAACTGTGGGCGAACTGCTCATATGCAGGCAAGGGACCACCCTTAGCTCTATTCCTTATGCGTGACACCAATTTCTTCTAGTCTACTTGGAAACATTGCTCCAAATATTTTCCTTTGTCTCATCTGCATTATCATTTTCCTTTTCTATTTGATTTTTCCCATTGGCAAACATTATTTCTGTCATTTAAAATATTTTCTCTTGATTCTACTCCCTCTCTGGTGACTGCCCCTCTTTCTCCCTTTGAGCAAACTCCTCCAGAGAGTTGTCTTCACTCTCTTTCTCCTGTTCTTTCTTGAGCCCACTCCAATTAGTATTTTGCCTTCACCAATCCAAGAAACTGCTCTTGTCAAAGGCGCCAATGACCATGCAGATACTACAGCTAATGGTGAAGTCTCAGTCCTTATTTTATCGGACCTTGCCACAGCATCTGGCAGAGCTGCTTCCTCCTCCTCTCCCACTCTGCTGGGGCATCCGGGACTCAGTTGTTGGATGGCTTTTCTTTTCTACCTACAGTTCATCAAGTCTTCTGACTTTAAATTCCATTTACATTTCTCTTTGTACCCACATTTATACTTCCAGTCTGGGCCTCTCCTTGAGCTCTGGATTCATATATCTACCTGCTTACTCTCCATTTTTAAAATTATTTATTAAAAAATTTATTACATCTCCATTTTTAAAATTATTTATTCTTAATTGGAGGATAATTGCTTTATAATATTGCGTTGGTTTCTGCCATACATCAACATAAATCAGCCATAGCTATACATATGTCCCCTCCTTCTTGAACCTCCCTCCTACCTCCCACCCGATTCCATCCTTCTAGTCAGTATCTCCATTTAGATGTCTAACAGATATCTCAAGTTAACTGATCTAAAATTGTTGCTTGGTCACTCAGTCGTGTCCAACTCTTTGCATCCCCATGAACTGCAGCACACCAAGTTTCCCGGTCCTTCATCATCTACCAGAGCTTGCTCACACTCATGTCCATTGAGTCAGTGATGCCATACAACCATCTCGTCCTCTATCATCCCCTTCTCCTCCTGCCTTTAATCTTTCCCAGCACCAGGGTCTTTTCTAATGAATCAGCTCTTCACATCAGATGGCCACAGTATTGGAGCTTCAGCTTCAGATCTAAAATTGAGCTCCTCATATTTTCCCCCTCAGCGAATGGCAACTCCATTCTTCCAACTGTTAGAGCCAAAAACCTTGGATAATTCGTCCTCTTTAGATAAGGATGGGTCCATCATGAAATCCTGTTGATTCTATCTTCAGAATATAGCCAGCAACTGACTACTATGATGCTGATCCACACCCCAATCATCTTGTGCAAAGATTATTTCAATATTATCTGTTTTCCCTATTTACACCCTTATTGCTCTCATTCCACTCTCAACACAGCTGCCAGAGCAACCTTTTTAATGCATAAGTCAAGTTGTACCACTCCTTAGCTAACCACAAGGAAAAGCTAAAATTGTTACAGTGGCTTCAAGCCCCACAAGATTCTGGCCTTACTATCTCTCTGAGGTCATCTTCCCATCATTCATTCTGTTCCAGCTACACTGGACTCTGCCTCCTTAAACACTCCAGGCATGCTTCTGTTTCAGGGACTTTGCATGCATTTCAATTCCTTCTGCTTAGAATGCTTTCCTTTCTCCTTCCTTCACATCATTACTGAAATGTTACATTCTCAAGGAGGCCATCCTCGACGCTACTATTTAAAATTGTATGCTCTCCTGACACCATGATCCTCCCCTACTTTAATTTTCTCCCCAACACTGATTTTCATCTGACAAGCTATATTTTTAACTTATTTATTTTTGTCTACGGTCTTTCTTCTCCCACTAAAGTATAAGTTCCATTTGGCCAGAAGATTTCTCTGTTTTCTCACTGCTATATCCTCAGAGTCTAGTACACAGTACCTGGCATGTGGTAGGTAGTCAATAACTATGGATGGATTAATGAATGAAACTAAAGAATAAAACTTCCCTGAATCCTACCCTTCCTCTGGACTTCTTATCACAGAAGACAAAAATGTCCTTATTGCCAAGTAAGATTCAACTGGGGTTTCTGTTTTCATGCACTTGTAGCAGAAGTCAATCTAACTGATACCCAAGTGTGACCTTTTTCACTCTTTTACTTTTTTTTTATTTCTGTTTAGTTCCCTGGGTCTTCTATGCATGAGCTTTCTCTAGTTGCAGCAAATGAGGGCTGCTCACAGTGGCTTCTCCTGTTGCAGAGCACAGGCTCTAAGTGCATGGGCTTCAGTAGTTGCAACACAAGGGTTCAGTAGTTACGGCACATGGGCTTAGCTACCACTCAGATTGTGAGCTCTTTCCGGACCAGGGATGGAACCCGTGTCCCCTGCATTGGCCAGTGGATTCTTAACCACTGTACCACCAGGAAAGCCCCTATGTGTGATCTTAATCTTCGTGCTAACTCTGAAGTTTAGATATTTTCTCTCCGTTTTTCAGATGAGAAAGGAGAACTCCTGAGAGATTAAGTTACATGCCAGAGGTCATACAGTTAGTAAGTCCCAGGGCTCAAATCCCAACCTGACTGATGCCACAGCTGCGAGTTCTTAGCTGCAGCACTCCACACAGACCACCGTCCCCAGAAATGACACCAAGGCTGAGCTAAGTCAGAAGCCTTTGGATTGGAGGGTCTGGGTGCTGCCAGTCATCTCCATAAAGGAAACATTTGCTCCCTGAAGACTCTTAAGTATCAGATGTCAAAATAATAATCTATTTTTTTTTTTTTTAGAGAAATCTCTGCTTTTATTGGCCAGCAGGTTACTTGAGGGGGATGAAGCGGGAGGAATGGGTAGCCCCGATACCAGGCCGGCCGTGTTTCACGGGCTTGTAGGTGATGGAGAACTCGCCCAGGTAGTGGCCGATCATCTCAGGCTTGATTTCCACCTGGTTGAAGGTCTTGCTGTTGTAGACGCCCACCATGCTGCCCACCATCTCGGGCAGAATGATCATGTCGCGCAGGTGCGTCTTCACGACCTCGGGCTTCTCCATGGGCGGCGCATCTTTCTTGGCCTTGCGCAGCCGCTTCAGCAGCTAGTGCTGCTTCCTCCGCAGGCCGCGGTTCAGCCGCCGTCGCTGGCGCGCACTGTATAGCTGCATCAGTTGCTCATAGGACATGTCAGCAGCTGGTCGAGGTCTACGTCGCGGTAGGTGAACTTGCAGAAGGTCCGCTTCTTCTTCTGTTCCACTTCCGCCATCTTGCCGGTTCTTCAGAAAGGCCAAAATAATAATCTTGTTCATTTCCTGAATTTCACAATTTGCCTTGTTGCTATCATTATTCTCTGTCTGCTTCCCCCCTTCTTTGTATCCCCAGCATTTAACACAATGAAGGGATAAATGAACTAATTCAGATACAATTCTGCTTGAAGTGAAAATGTTAGTCACTCAGTCATGACTGACTCTTTGAGACCCCATGGACTGTAGCCCACCAGGCTCCTCTGTCCATGGAATTCTCCAGGCAAGAATACTGGGGTGGGTAGCCTTTCCCTTCTCCAAAGAATCTTCCCAACCCAGGGATGGAACCCGGGTCTCCTGCATTGCAGGCAGATTCTTTACTGGCTAAGCCACCTGCTTAATATCATTCATTCACTCACAGTCCTGATTGAACATCTGACTTGTTCTAAGCGCTGTCTTTGTGATGCTTATAGTCTACTAAGGGAAGAGGATATTAAATAGTCACAGAAATAAGTCACACAAACAAAAAAAGAAACTGTGAACAGGGCCATAAGGGAGAAGTACGGGGTACTATGAAAACAGACAACAGAATGTCCTAATTTCAGTGGCAGAATGTCAGTGAGGACCTCCAGATCTGAAGGGTGAAGGGGAAGTGGTCCTCGAAGAAGACTGTCCTAAGGAGGGAATGAAGGATGGTGAGTGTTCCTGAAGTACAGCTGATGGTCTCATCTTGCCAGCGGTGGCCTGTGTTTCCTAGAATCTGCCTTCAAGGACAGGAAGGAAGGGGGAGACACTATGTTTACAGTTTAACACACATCTGACAAGCGTGACCTCTACTCACTGATGGAAACAGCTCTGTCCTCAGTGTCTCTATGTCCAGATATTTCCAGCTTGTTCACTTTTCCCTGGTCCAGTGTAATTCAAAGAACTAGTCACTGCAGTCACTGGGATGTCTCCAAAACTAAACAGTGGGGGGCAAGGCAGGATTCCAGCAGGGAGGGCTTTGCAGAAGTTACCGTTTGTGTGGTCAGGGCTGTGGGTTTCACCTAGGAGGGTTGGGTGGGGCCCGGGTAGCATTAAGGGAGGGAGGCCACTGCGAACGAATGGCTGTCTCCCTTTTCGCAGCAGCCCTCCCCAACTCCCAGCAGAGAAGGCCCCAGGGCACAGCGCTGGCTTGCTGGTAGAAACCTGAAGGAAGGAGTTAAGAAGGCCGGGCTGATGGACGCAAAGACAGAACTGTGTTTATCCAGGAAAAGAGGTCGTACGTAGACAACGGAGGCCCCTGCCAGCTCCTCCCAGGACTGGGCTGGGGGAGCAAGCTGGAGAGGAAGTTGTTCCCCTCCGGGCTCCGAACAGCTCCTGGCCCGAGGCCAGGACCCAGAGGCGGCCCACAGGTGAGGCCTGAACTCTGGGCGCCAGGCCGAGACCATTGCCTTGGAGCTCAGACTCCCAGAGAGAAAGTCGGAACATCGCGCTCCCTGGGAGTGCGGCAAGCGGGTGCGGTAAGCGCGCTGCGGAGGGCCTCCCGGAATCAGGTCAGAGGGTGACTGAGAATCAATGCTGTCTTTGTGCTCAGCGGCTTCCTAGGGAGAAAAGGAGGGGAGAGTGGGAGGGGCGGACCAACTACTCAGTCCGCTGCAGACTCGGGATGCGGTAGGGCTGGGAGGTAGGGAGCCGGACAGTCAGGGCTTAAGTGGGGGTGGCATTCTGTGCCCCCGAGGGGTGCTCTTCTTGAGCAGGCCGTGGGTGCTCTCAGGGCAGCAGTCAAATGTGCTGGCAGTTTGTTTCTGGCCTGGAACGACCCCGGAAGGCGAGGGAGGAGCAAGAGGATACAAGCGGGGCAGGGACGAAGGATGGCTCAGCCTGGAGAAACTTGCGCAGCCGCAGGGGACGGGAGCCAAGGGGTGGGGGTGGGGAGGGGGGTGAGGGGAGTCCTAAGCGGCGCCAGATCAGACGCTGGAGGAGAGCCGCAGTGTCCCGAAATGGGCATGGGAGAAGGGGGTGACCACCCCCCCCCCTTCCCTAGGGCCGCGGTGTCTCTTGAGGAGGAGAGTGAATATGAGGGAGTTCCAGCTCTGGGTCAGTGTTCGTGACTGCAGAACTTTTGATAATTAGGCTCTGGGTCAGTGTTCGTGACTGCAGAACTTTTGATAACGTGGTGTTACTCGATTCTTCTAATAAGAGTCTAGGGTTCCAGTGGGTGTGTGAGGCCTTCTCACTCAGAAGTCGGTGTACATCTTTAGTACTAGTGAAAGCAGTGGGAGAGTCTGTATGTCCGAGGCCTGACTGTCTAGCCCTGGGCTCCCTCTATTTCTCTCCGGACCCCCAGACTTTGCCGCCCTTTGTTTTTGCCGCTCAAAAAAGGTCTAGGGCGCCTGTTGGGCCCCCAAAGAAGGGAGCGGCGGCAGATCACCCGGTGTGGTGTACGTTTGCAGCACCATTCACCTTGGGCTCCCCTTCTTTCCTTGCCCAGGCCTCCACGCTGGACTTGGATCCGCTCGGCCTCGTGGAACTCGGACTTCCAGCACCCACCACCACTACCCCCACCCCCCCCCCACCGCCGCCACCTCATGTGGCTCTTGGAGAAAGCTGGCTACAGGGTAGGGGCCGCGGAGCCCAGGGCCGGGTGGGCGCCCTCCAGTTTGTTTCCTAAGCGCCGCACCCCGTGCCCGCTGGCTCGCCCCTGCCCCAACGTCCTCACCCCGGATCGCATCCCGCAGTTCTGCATCCCGCCTCGGCTGCGGGACCCAGGCGGCGCGCAGCCCCACAGCAGCGGGCTCGGCCTCCCCGCGACCTGTTCACTGCCACACCTGGCGGGGCGCGAAGGCTGGGCCTTCCTGCCCGAGAGCCCGCACACGCGCCGGCGCGAGTCCCTGTTCCACCGGCCACCGCCCACCCCCGCCGGCGGGCTGCCCCCCGCGCCGTCCCGGCTGCACGTCTCCGCCCCGGACCTGCGCCTCTGCCGGGCCCCCGACAGCGACACGGCCTCGTCGCCGGATTCGTCGCCCTTCGGCTCGCCGCGGCCAGGCCCCGACCGGCCTCGGCCGCCCCGGCCGCGCTCGCTGTCCCGGGTGCAGGCGGGCTCGGCCGACACCAGCCCGTACGCCTCGCGCCGCGCAGGACCGCCCACGCCGCCCCTCTTCCACCTCGATTTCTTGTGTTGCCAACTGCGGCCGACCCAGGAGAGCGTGCTGCACCTCGAGCCCCGGGGAGGGCAGCTGCGGCTCTCCGCCGAGTACCCGGCCGGGCCCGGGAGGCTGCGGCTGCGCCTGGTGAGCGTCGAGGGCCTGCCGCGGTCTCGGGCCGGCCCCGGGAGCGGCGGCGGCGGCTGCTGCGTGGTGCTGGGGCTGCGGCCGCGCGTCCGGCCGCGGGGCCAGCGGAGCCGAGTGGTCAAATGCAGCACCAACCCCATCTTCAACGAGGACTTTTTCTTCGATGGGCTCGGACCGCCGGACCTGGCCGCCCACAGTCTGAGGGCCAAGGTGCTGGACAGGGGCGCAGGATTCCGCAGGGACGTGCTGCTGGGGGAGTGTGAGAAGCCCCTGATTGCCCTGCTGCCGCCCTTGGGTGGTGGGCTAGGTCCCGGGGCCTCCCTGGTGCCTGCCCATCTCAGCCTGTAGCCTGAGAGACTGTCTCTTCCTCAGGAGGGCTCCACCGGGTCTGCAGTCTTCATTCTTTCCATCTGCCCAGCATGTATTTATTTTTGCAAATAAAATATGTCTCCCCTTGTTTGCACACTGCGCTCTCAGATCTGCAGACTGCACTCATCCCTCTGCCCTGGCCCTACAAGGGATGGAGGAAGCTCATTCAGGTTTTCTGATTTGGAGCAGACCTTAAGAAGTGGTTCTCAAACTTGAATGTGAGTATCACAGTTACCAGACATCAGAAATCCTGGATGAGCTTGTTAAACACAGGGAAAGAATCATGAGCTCTGTTCCTGAGAGACTCTGACACTAGTTCACTAGGTCTGAGCTGAGCGGGTCAGAGGTTTCCTGGTCAACAAGGCCCCTACCCCTTCAGGGGGCCCTCCAATCACTGAAAAGCTCTGTGACTGAAGCCGGCATAACTCACCTTCCCCTGGGGGTTCCTGGGGGCCGCACAGGGGAAATCAACACTCCAAACCCATCTAGCACCCCACTCACACCCACATCTGATCTGAAGAGAGAGATGAAATTTCTGGGTCTTGGGAGTGAGTCAGAGGATGTCAGACTAGCACACTATGCCTTTAGGGATCCTCTCTCCTGCCTGTTCCTTCCACACTTGGGCCTCCCTGGGGAGTCACAGGGATGGAGGTCCTGGGGGCAGAGGGGTCCCACTGGACTGTGAGAGCTATTCTCATGGATGCCCAGAAAAGGCTACCCAGGTGAGTAGGGGCAGAATGTGGAAGATGGATGCATGTAGGTCACATTGTATTTACCTCCCACCTGAATGTCCCTGACGTCAGCAGTGACCTTCTCTCTCACCCCTCCTTCTCTGGAGCTTGTTCCTCTTGGCTCAGGCCAGGCTTGGAAGAGGAAAAAAGGGAGGAGGAAAGGGAGGGAGGGAGGGAGGGAGGGAGGAAGGGAGACACAGTGCCAACCCAGCTTCTTTTTCCCACCCCCTTGGGCCATTTCTCATTTTGCCAAGTGCCCCTAACCAGGGCCAAGCCTTCATTACCTAGATAAACCTCAGCATATACAATGCTAGCATTACACACACACACACACACACACACACACACACACACACACACCCCACCAGGCTCCTCCATTCCTTCTCCCCCCCTGATTAGGTCCCTCCCCAACCCACCAGGCCAGGGAAAGTCTTGCTCCAGATGTCCACCAGGTGGTAGCATTGATCAACTAATATTAAGTGCTAACAGCTACCAAAAAATAATGATCGCCATGAAATGGCAACCCACTCCAGTATTCTTGCCTGGAGAATCCTATGGACAGAGGAGCCTGGTGCGCTGCCACCTATGGGGTTGCACAGAGTCGGACACGACTGAAGCGACTTAGCAGCAGCAGCATGCAAGGAATCTTATCCAACAACTTGTCAGCAATTCCCATGAGAGTTAAGTACTATCGTTAATATTGTTACCCAGTGTGACCTCAAGTTTTACTAATCCAGTGAGGGAAAGAACTAGGATTTAAACCACAGTCTGGCCTTAGAGTCTGAGCTCTCAGTCACTTCACTATAGTGGTGCACTGGAGAAGACTCTTTTGAGAGTCCCTTGGACAGCAAGATCAAACCAGTCAATCCTACAGGAAATCAACCCTTAATATTCATTGCTGATGACACCATCTTATGGCAGAAAACAAAGAGGAAATAGCCTCTTGGTGTAAGTGAAAGAGGAGAGTGATAAAGCTGGCTTAGAACTCAGCATTCAAAAAAAGAAGATCATGGCATCTGGTCCATTGAGTTCTGTCACTCAGTCAAGTCCAACTCGTCGACCCCAAGGACTGCAGCACGCCAGGTTTCCCTGTCCATCACCAACTCCCGGAGCCTGCTCAAACTCATATCCATTGAGCTGGTGATGCCATCCAACCATCTCATCCTCTGTCATCCCCTTCTCCTCCTGCCTTCAATCTTTCCCAGCATCAGGGTCTTTTCCAATGAGTCATTTCTTCCCATCATGTGGCCAAAGTATTGGAGCGTCAGCCTCAGCATCAGTCCTTCCAGTGAATATTCAGGACTATTCAGGATTTCCTTTAGGATTGACTGATTTAATCTCCTTGCAGTCCAAGGGACTCTCAAGAGTCTTCTCCAACACCACAGTTCAAAAGCATCAGTTCTTCAGTGCTCAGACTTCTTTATGGTCCAACTCTCACATCCATATGTGGCTACTGCAAAGTCCAGAGTTTAGTTTGGACTAGACCTTTGTTGGCAAAGTAATGTCTCTGCTTTTTAATATGCTGTCTAGGTTGGTCACAGCTTTTCTTCCAAGGAGCAAATGTCTTTTAATTTCATGGTTGCAGTCACCATCTGCAGTGATTTTGGAGCCCAAGAAAATAAAGTCTGTCACTGTTTCCATTGTTTCCCCATCTATTTGCCATGAAGTGATGGGAGGAGAAGGGGACAACAGAGGATGAGATGGTTGGATGGCATCACTGATGCGATGGACATGAGTTTGAGTAGGCTCCGGGAGTTGGTGATGGACAGGGAAGCCTGGCGTGCTGCAGTCCATGGGGTCGCAAAGAGTCAGACACGACGAAGTGACTGAAATGACTGACTGATGGGACCAGATACCATGATTTTAGTTTTTTGACCAGTCCCATCACCTCATGGCAAATAGATGGGGAAACAATGGAAACAGTGATAGACTTTATTTCTTGGGCTCCAAAATCACTGTAGATGATGACTGCAGTCATGAAATTAAAAGATGCTTGCTCCTTGGAAGAAAAGTCATGACAAACATAGACAGCATATTAAAGAGCAGAGACATTACTTTGCCAACAAAGGTCTAGTCCAAACTAAACTCTGGACTTTGCAGTAGCCACATATGGATGTGAGAGTTGGACCATAAAGAAGTCTGAGCACTGAAGAACTGATGCTTTTGAACTGTGGTGTTGGAGAAGACTCTTGAGAGTCCCTTGGTGTAAGGAGATCAAACCAGTTAATCCTAAAGGAAATCAGTCCTGAATATTCATTGGAACGACTGATGCTGAAGTTTCAACACTTTGGCCACCTGACATGAAGGGCTGACTCATTAGAAAACACCCTGATGCTGGGAAAGATTGAAGGCAGGAGAAGGGGATGACAGAGGATGAGATAGTTGGATGGCATCACCGACTCAATGAACACGAGTTTGAGCAAGCTCCAGGAGTTGGTAATGGACAGGGAAGCCTGGAGTGCTGCAGTCCATGGGGTCACAGAGAGTCAGACACAACTTAGTAACTGAACAACAACAACATAATATCTTACGTGCCAGCTGCCACCTCCCAATCAGGTCAGTTCCTTCCCTAGGATGATAGCTCTCCAATCTTTTCACCATGTGAAGTCCACCCATAGGTCCAGTTCTATCCCTAGTACTGTCCTACTTCAACCCAAATCCTCCCCTAACAATATCTGGTGAATAGCTGTATTTGATGCCTATTTCAAAGGAGAAAAAAAAGAAGAGGCCACTCACCCTTCATTCCTGCAGTCCTTCAACAAATACTTAGGGAGGGCCAGCAGGGGCTTCGCCGGTGGCTCAGTCAGTAAAGAATCTGACTGCAACACAGGAGACCTGGTTTGATTCCCCTGGAGAAGGGAATGGCAACCCACTCCAGTATTCTTGCCTGGAGAATTCCATGGACAGAGGAGCCTAGGGGGCTACAGTCCATGGGGTCGCACAGAGTGGGATACAGCTGAGCAACTGAGCACACACACACGGCAGGTGCTGGACTTTGGATACGGCAGTGATCAAAACAGAAACGGGAGCCTGTTACACAGAATGAAGCAAGTCAAAAAGAGAAAGATAAATATTGATATTAACACTTATATATGGAATCTAGAAAAATGGGAGCAATGGACTTATTTGCAGGGCAGCAATAGAGACTCAGGGCTTCCCAGGTGGAGCTAGTGGTAAAGAACCCTAGAGAATACCTGACAGAGAAGCCTTGGGGGCTACAGTCCATAGCGTCGCAAACAGTCTAACGCAATTGAAGCGACTTAGCATGCAAGCACAACGGAGACACAGACATAAAGGACAAGCTTGTGGACACAGGGAAGGAAAGGAGAGGGTGGGATGAATTGAGAGGGTAGCATTGAAACATATATATTACCGTATGTAAAAGAGCTAGCTAATGGGTAGTGACACAGAGAGCTCAGCCTGGTGTTCTGTGACAACCTAGAGGGGTGGGAGGGAGGTCCAAGAGAGAGGCGACATATGTATACCTACGGCTGATTCGTGCTGATGGATGGCAGAAACCAACACAATATTGAAAGCAATTACACTCCAATTAATAAATAAACAGTGAAAAAAAACAGAAATGGGAATCAGACAAGTTACAAAATGAATAAGTAAAATGTAAAAATGTTACTTGGTGATCTGTTTTAGAGAAAATTGAAGCAGGAAAGGGGGCAAAGGAAGAAAGTCAGACAGAGAGAAGAAGGGAGGAATGGAAAGAGAGAGAGAGAGAGAGACTGAAACATTTCTTTTTAACCACAGTACTTTGTACCCGCAGGTCCTGTATTTTACTCATTATGCCAGTTAATCATTGCAACCACTCAGCAAGGTGGGTTCTGTTACCATTTGACCGAGCCGATAGATCAGAGGGGTTAAGTAAACTTGCCTGAGGATCAGCCCTGGCGGCAGGGAAATTTCAGGACTGTGGCTTCCTCCAAACCTCCCACTGCTGCTCAGAGGTGGCTGAGAGGTGAGAATTCAAGTCCATTCTGGTCAGGAGCAGTTCACTCAGTGTCCACAGCTGTGACCTTCCCCTCCCCACACCACGGGGGGCACAATGTCTCAGGAGGAGCCTCCTGGCCAGCTAAAGCCACAAAAGCGTGCCCTGGGGCCAATAAGGTCAGAAGAACCCCTCCAGTGTGCAGGCTGCTCTGGCGTCAAAGTATGTTCAGACATAAGTCTGGACTGATATTACTGTCCCCCTTTTATTTTTTTTCAATTAATTAATGTATTTTAATTGGAGGCTAATTA